GAGTTCACGTTCACTACAATAGGAATTGTGTTGGTACATACGGAACATTACTATGTACAGCATGATACTGTTTTTCATAATATTCATTTACTGTTTCATTTCTTTGTCCCGTCGACGGAATTATTTTCATGTTCAATGACGAATATAGAAATGTAGTGTTTGTTATGACTTTTGCCCATGTCAACATCTCTGATCAGAATACTGACTTGTAAGACATAGTTCTTGTATTAAACCGATGACACATCAAATATCACTATCAGCCTTACGTTAACAGTGGATCCTTACTGGTCGTTCTTGCCTAGCTCTGTCTATCGAAATCAGAAAGCAATCTCAGCTTCCACTGTATGAATCATATATTTCAGACATACTCAATTTATATACAAGCAGACCAGACCGCATCACACCAGTAGAGTTCAATCAGTGTCAGGTAATAGACAGTTATCTACAGATGAAGGCTTGAGCAAGACCACGGATCGATTGAATTCAAACATAAACGCCGTTGGATGCTGGCTCAAAAGTCTAGATATTAAGCGTTCGCGTGCGAGATCGAAAGTGCTAAGTACAAATCCCGCAGGCTAGATAGTGGATGGGCACTTCTGAAAAGTCCCATACTAAGATGAAACGATTATTAAATGGTGAATTGTATAACAGTAGTCAATAGGTTAAATGGATGCTAAGTAAACTAATTTTCACAGAATTATCTGAAACAATAAAAGTCTCAATTTTATACTGACTATATTTTGTGAAATCTAATTTTATGCTAAACAAATTCATTGTTTCATAGCACCCTTTTCTCATTATGGTACGTTTTCATGCTGAAATGTGTTATGAATACTTCCCTTAAGGTATACTTACTCATTAGTTAATTTGATGAATTAATTGAAGCTAGACCACCAGAGAAAACCTGGGATCCCTGGACTATCGTTTCGTACTAGTGTGAGACTCCTCATCAGTGGTTGTCTTCAAGAGGTACTTCCTGGAGTTCCAGTGAAAAGCACTGACCAGTAGAGTTCAACTGGGTCTGTTGCGAGACAGTGACTCACTAAAGACAATAGTGAATGGTGACTTGATTTCGTGGATTGGCTGAAGTTAGAAATTAACACCCTTAGATGCTCCCTCAGTGGTCTACAGGTTAAGCGTTCGCGCACGAGACAGATAGGTCCTTCGTTTAAGTCTCACATGATGGATTGTGAGTTTGCACAGATGAGGAGTCCCATACCTGAACGAAACAGTCGTCCAGTGCTTACAGGTTTTTCATGGTGATATAGCTTCAATTAAATCATGAACTCAGCTGTTAAATTACTATAATATTCACAAAATCCCTTTCTGAGTATGCTTATTCATCATTAGCCTGTCTGCTACTTAAATTACTTTCATATTCATTTTAGACTTCTTGACCAAGGAGAATTGAGTTCTTTATTTCTTTTTACCCGATTTTTAGGGAAACTATCAAGGGAATATTATCATCATGGTGGTGAAATGTACAACTTCCATTATCATCAGTTATAACTATTTGATACTCTATCGCAATCATTCACTATTATTTTAATATATATTTGATGTAAATGATTGTATTTGTTCTGTTCTCCTTGTGAACATTCAATGACGTATTATTCAACTTGGTATAAGACTTGTAATTTGTGTCCATGTAACTGCTCATTGTTTTAGTGATAAGTCTTCTAACTGAATGCAAGATTCGGTTCCTAAGCTCTTCTAGTAACCTGACGGGCTAAATCTACATAGCGATTCGAACACGAGAGAAAAAGCGTGAAAAAAAGGCTTTACTCTAAAGGTTCGTTTAAATACAGAGAATCTAGGCTTTTGACAGCATTTTTAGATGCCCTTAGGTTTCCGGAAATTTTTGGAATGCTTGTAGACATAATAGCAGTATAGGTAACCATTGATTCAGAAACGCTACATGTGACATTTCACTTTCTAGATGTTTCTGACAAAACGTCTATGGAAAGCTGGTTGAATAAGATGTTTCTCAGAGCTTTTCTGTGGTTTTTTCCGAGAGATTTTCTAGATCTCCCTAACATTTAGTTTTGTGAATGAAGTGGCTCTATATCTGACTTTAATCAGATGGTTTGCTGATTGTTATTTGAATATAAATACTTCTTACCCTCGTACGGAATAAGCCGTACACGAGAACGAATTTTGAATACATACATTTCCTATACTCATTGGTCCGGACAGACAATAGAAGAAACGAAGTGAAGGAAGCGAGACGAAACAAAGTGACTCTGGGCAGAGATAGATAATAAGCCAACTCGATTTTAATCAATGGTGAACGGATATTTATAGTCAGACAAAGATAAGCTACAGATAGGTAATGAATTGAGCAATTCATGAATGCACAAAAGATCATATGGAAATCAGTCAAGGTATGATGGTGGTTAAAGGTAGTGAACAGGAAACTCTGAACCTGGGTGTTTCGCTATTCGACTATAAGTCATAGACTTTTTTAAAAGGTCTCTAAGATAGTATTACATCATAACAAGTCGTGATTGATAGTTATTCGGACATATGATTATGTAAGTCTGAAATTTGTGATTTCTTGAATTATAACAATAAGCATTTTGTAGTATCTTAGAGATGGAAATTTATCAGACTATAAACTAACACCATCGAAGGTTATGTCATACTACTTAAAAACTAAGACATTGTTAACTAACCATTGGTCAATTGATTCAAAGCCGAAATTCGATCAGGTGGAACAACCCAATAGTGTCATCTTTAAGTTGAGGTGTGAAGGAAACGTTTCTGCTAGCGACTGTCGGTCAAAGCTTTCGTTCTTTATCCATAGACCATTTCACTTGCTTTTGTGGAGCAAGGTACATAGGCAGTGGTCAACATTTACTTTCAAGTTGAATAAGAGAACATAGTTTATTGTTGTTCTAAAAAATGTGAAACTAAAGAGGTTAGGGGTTCTATCCTTGTAAAGTTAAGCAATTTTATTCACTTTACTGATCCACAGGTTGACTTCATAGGTGTTTACAAAATTTATTCATCCAAAAAATAAACACTGAACTGTGTTGACTTAAGAAGTATTTCTATCTTAAACTATTAGTATTATTATTAGTAGTAGTAAAGATGGGTTGTGGCTAGCAGTGGAATCGAGGATGCGCGTTTTGTCCAGTTTGGGACTACTCATCTGGATATTCGTGCACCGTAGAGTCGACGTTCACTTTGGCACTCGAACACAGTACCGTTCGCTTTAAACACAATCGCGTTATCTTCTTAGCTACTGAGTTCTAATAACCACTTGCTTGTGCAACAGGGTGAAGTTTAAATCCATTTAATATTGTTTACTAGAATCTTTCCATTCATATGTTGGGAGACTGCAAATGATCCGTCTCTTATTGGCAATCGAATGTATTTGAATACGAAATTACACAATATATTGGTAAAATCTGAGAACCATTCATTTGCACAATGTCAATCGTTCCCACATCAATCATTCTCTGTTCTTGTTCTATTTTCGTCGATCTTCCTAATCTTCTACTGCCAGACATTTCTAATTGATGATACATACTACTTATATCTGTCGACATCAGTAGCACACGACACACTACAATCAAGTTTGTTTATGGTTAATTTTGGTTATGAATTTTATTATCGTATTTATTTGTCAATATACTATTATGATCACTAACGATGTCAGTATAAGCGCGCATGCTTGGTCATAAGTAACCGTCGACACACATATCCATCACTCCATCTTAAATGTTAGCCGCTTAAATATCGCTCGATAAATTATTCATTTTCCTATATATATGTGCATGAATCTTACTCATTGTTTTGTATTGCATCGCTTCTCGTCGATTTGATTTGACTCTGAATCCGCCTCAGTATACACTTGCAAGTTTCTTCAGGCGTATTAACCTATCTGCTCAAATTCGCTTCTAACTCTGTTATCTGCGCTATTCCATAATAATATGTAGTCGGCGTCTCGTTCTGCCTTCTGAATTTATACACCATTGTGATTTATTTAATAGCGGTTATCAGGTGGGATTGATAATTGAAACGTCGGGAATGATCTCAGAGTCAAGGCACTACAATAACTCATTGTGTAGTGAACGAGAGGACAGAGTGACACAACCGAATCACTTAATAAAATCTGAGAAGGATACAGTAAATATTTCATTTGCAAACTGTTAATCAATCGTCCTAATGTTTAATGTTCCTTCACTTCCACAACAATCATTCTGCATTCTCGTCCTATTTTCTTCGATCTTCTTAGACTTCCAACACCAAGCATTTCACTTTCGATTAATGATACCTACTACTTACATCTATCGATATCAGTAGCACACATCACAATTGTTGTAATATGAAATTTTATGAGTAAACAATCTTAATTATTTGGACAATTCAGTTGCTATCTTATTCGCTTTGTTTTAACTTTCTTCCTATTTTAACGTTGTAGAAAGTAAACTAAGCATGTGTACTTTGCTTTCAGTACGTTGCATTAAAGTGTTTCGCAAAATTAATTTATGAATTTCCTTTGTATTTGTCTCACTCACATACCAATTGAACGTGTTGAATTTTTGGTTCAAGTTCTGGAGTGAACAGCTGACGAGTCTCGGAATAGGACGAAACGTGCGTACTGGATTCAAATGCTAACCACCAACCATCTTTGCATACAATTGTTTGATTTCGATCAGTTGAAGGGAATATATTTAGGAAATTCTTTAAAAGTGTTCACAACAATACTGACAAAAGAAGGGGAACCTGTTTTTGATCCTGGTGTCACATAATTATTCAAAAACGTATTCATCATACATGTAGGGCATAATACTTATATCTGTGATATAAGTAGTATCAGAAGTGGAAAGCAAAACAGAAAAAATAAGAAGACAATAGAAGGAATCACGAAGGATGTAAAAGATAACTGATGGAAGATGTGAAAGTCAGTTATTTTATGTATGGTTTTTCATATGTTATGAAAAAACTCTGTAATTTTGTACTTAATAGTAACATGGTGTTTGCTACTTATATTGATATAAGTAGCATATAAAGCTTGTCAGGAATAGAAGATTGAGTAGTTCGAGAAGAAAAGAATGGAAACACAAAGCGATTGATATAGAAACAAAGGAACAATTAAGTTTGAAACAATTAATTGACACTTTGCAAATGAAGTATATACTGTATAATTCTCAGGTTTTAGTAAAATTTTCTGTAATATTGTGCTAAAATACATTCGATTGTCCCCGCTTGTATTCTTGTTCATCACAAAAAGTCACTAATTCCCACTTGAGGTCTCGTTCACTTCATAAATCTCACATATTTTTTAGATACAGTATTTAGTTTTGTTATTGGTTGAGATCTTGAACCGAATGGTGTTCGACCACTATTGAAAAACCTTGAAGCAGTGGACGGCCGCTGCGTCCGACTGTGGATCTCGTAGCATGCACGATGTGGCTCGCGGGATTCGAACTCAGGGCCTCCAGTCTCTCACGCGAACGCTTATCCTATACACCACTGAGCCGGCACCCAACGGTGTTCATGTCTAACATCAACCAATTGGGCGACCATCTTCCATTGTACTGAGATAGAGACCTGTATCTACCCGACACGGAATAACTCCAATGATTACGGCTTCTCACTAGAACTCGTAGAATTCCCTGACGAAGCTAGTCACTAGTAAGCAAATGGTAATTATCAGTATAGTTTTGTGAACAAAATGTGAAAGAAAAATAGTCACCTTGTATATGTGCACAAATTTAATGAATAATAATGTAGTTAAGTGAAGACTATACAATGAAGTTTTAAAATTTTATTGAATAATACCAAAATTGTGTTCGAATATTGAAGTCTCACTTCTAACCACTGACTGCAGTAGTATTATTAAAAAAGGCATGCCAATCATTTATCGTATTCCTAAAAAGCAGAAATGATCGATTTAGAAAAAAAAATCAATACTCAAACTTTATTGATTGATTTGATTGGGAAAAAACAATGTATGAAATGATTGATTTAGTTGCTATGCTTTAAAGTATCATTGTCTTTGATTGATACTCATTAGTATTGATAATGAGAAGTGAATAGTAATATTCCACATGACTCCAAATTATTTGATGCATCCTTCTCATTGAAAACACCTTTAATATACATGTGAAATCTAATCAATCTATTGATGGTTTGATAAAGTATTTGATGATTAAAGTATTAAAATGGCTTGATTTTTGCACATTTCTAATACCTTTTGTACAGTTTACTATGAAACGAGTTTCGGTTAGAATGTAACTACTTACTTACGTCTGTGACCCCTCGTAGAGGTGCATAAGCCACACACCAGCAGTCACCATCCAACTCTGTCCTGGACAATCCTTTCAAGCTAACAATAATCTTTTTCATATCTGTTTCCTGTTGTCGACATAGTGTGTTCTTTAGCCTTCCTCTTTTCGGTTTTCCTTTACGATTCCAAGTTATCACTTGCTTTATGATGCAGTATGTTGATTTCTGTCTATAGTTCTGCTAGAGTTACTGATGGTCCTAAGACCAGGTAAAGGAGAAGGGTTGGGCATAAGATCGACAACCCCACATTGTAGAAAGCAATCTTACTAGAAAAAACATCAACTACATTAAAAAATTAACTTCTAGAGTGGTTGATGTGTGCATACGTTAGAATTTGCTTACCAGATTCCATTCAAAAAGCTTCAAAATATAAATCGTTTAAAACAATAGGCGATTGAATTCCACATAGATACAAACTATCTTAAACCTTTGAAATTGGTTTATATATGCAAATATAACCATGGAACTTTGTTCGGAATATTAAACAGACTATGTTTAATTAATACTGTGATGTATGCTACTGTTATCGAAAGATATAAGTAGTATGTATCATCAGTCATAAGTGAAATGCTTAGCTGTTGATGATTAGGAATATCGAAGAAAATAGAACAAGAACAGAGAATGGTTGCTATGGAAACGAAAAAACAATGAAGTTCCAAATAATTTATTAACATTTTGCAAATGAAGTATTTGCTGTATATTTTTGTAAGTAATGATGGATAGTGGCTAGCAGTGGAATCCGGGAGGCGCGTTTCGTCCTATTTGGGACTCGTCAGTTCGATGTATCTGCATCTCAGAGTTGATGTCCACTCTGGGACTCGAACCCAGTACCATTCGCTTCAAACGCCATCGGGTTATCCACTAAGCTACTGAGTCCTGATAGCCACTTGCTTGTGCAATGAGGTGAATTTAAATTCACTTGATATTGTTTGGCTTGTATCTTCCCATAACAGACTGAACAATTGCAGTCTTAAACCTCAATAGGAAGATACAAGCCAAACAATACCAAGTGTATTTACTGTATAGTTCTCAGATTTGAATAAAATAATTCTATAATTTTGTGACATGCATACACTGGAAATGTTCAGCATAACAGTGAGTAGTAGTTAAAGAATTGGCAGTTTAGTAAATGTCTTTATTTTGCGTTATAAAATACATGAATAAATTGTATTTCGCTTATATAAAAGACCAAGTGACTTAAAACAATATCGAAGCAGTGTAGACAATATGTACACATGTCAACAAGAGATTGATCAGTTGCAGACCTCAACAACAATGGGAAGATACTAGCAAATAATGCCAAGTAAATCTAAAATTCATCCCATTGTACAAGCAGGTGGCTATCAGGACTCAATATCTAAATGGATAACGTGATGGTGTTTGAAGTTAACGGTACAGGGTTGGAATTTCAGAGTGAATTTCTACTCTGGAACGCAGATACATCTAACTAACGAGTCCCATATAGGATGAATTGTGCATTGTGGATTCCAATGCTAGCCATCATCCGTGTTTGCTAGGCAGATGAACTATATTATAACGTTTTTCTTAAAATTCGATGGAGAATGCTGTTGAGTAGTGTATTGTTCTCTTCGAGTGGTAACAGGCATAAATAAGTAAACTTCACTTTACTAAAGCATTCATTGAACTAATAAGTTACATCAAAAGCGTTGACATAGTAAATTCAACTTACCAAATGAAGCTAATAAAGGATCTAGTTTGAATAAATCAGTAGGATGATAGTTGATTCTTAAGTGGACATGAACAAATAATTCTAATATTTTCATAGTTGAAAGCACGAGTCGACTACCAGTGAAAACGTGGAAGTACTGGAAAGTTATGGGACTCGTCAGCAGTGCGCATCCACGATCCCGCACATGGGACTCAAACCGAGGATCTTTGATTTGGGGTGTGAGCGTTTAACCACTAGATCACTAAACCACGAGCGGGATCGTGTATGTGTACTGCTAAGGGGTCCCATAATAGGACGAAATGACTATTTAATGTATCCAACTTTTCACTTGTGGTCTAGCTTAAATCGACTAGTGATTTTAACTGTGATTATACTTCAATCTTCTTAAATCCTCATACCGATAACTCTAATATTCAAAATGTCAGGTATAGTTTTCTTATTACAGTATTCTTACTACTAAACACATATTCATCTACACACTGTAAGTTATCCATTCAGCTTAAAATAGAATGAGTTCGATAGAATGGTTTGATTAATATAGATTGATGATTTCATCTTGTGTCTGTTGATATCATCCTAAATGAACCATATCATCAAAGTGCATAAACCTTAATTTTTAACAAAATCATAACAGAATTACAATTCATCATCAACATTCTGACTAAACTTAAGAAAGTTTGAATTTACTTAGTATTGTTTCTCTTGTATCTTCCATTGTTGTTTAGGACTGTATATGTGTATCATGTGCGAATTGCCCCGATATTGCCTTAAGTCACAAGCTTTTTAAGCAGAGATGAACAGTGACTAGAAGTGGAATCCAAGAGTCGTCAGCTAGATATACCTGACTTTCAGAGTTGATATTCACTCTGGAACTCAAACCCAATATCATTTACTTCAAACGATACCGCGTTATCCATATAGCTACGGAGTTTTTATTGATGTCAAAAAACAATTGGAAACTATTGATTTCAACAGTGTTTATCAAAAACAAACGTAAATAGCAACATTACTTTTTAACGATTACTCACTCTATTACTGACCAAATTTTCCTTGAATATAATGAATTCAAAAGTAAATAGAGACATTGATGGTTGATTCAAAGGAACCCAAAAAGACCTAAAAGGCATACACTATGAACTCAATATATCAGCATGTTAAAATGAAGAATAAACTCATTTGAAAATGATAAAGTCGACATTGAATTCATTAAAGTGAATATTCCAAATCATGTGATCAACAGTTTGCAATCTACATTTTCTCAAATTATATTTTGTAGTGTGTACTATTGATATCGACCGATATAAGTAGTATGTATCATGAATTGAAAGTGAAATGCATGGCGACAGAAGATTAAGAAGATCGATGAGGAGAGAACGTGAACTGAGAGTAATTGATGGGGAAATGAAGGAACAGTCAAGTTTTCGACGACTGACTGACATTTTACTGTATAGTTCTTAGATTTTAGTAAGAGATTCAATAACTGTGTATTTATATGCATTCGATTATCTCCACTTGTGTTCTCGTTCACTACGATCATTACATTAAAACATATATATTCACTTACCCAATGAAAGTCCTTATGAAGTGTAGAATAATAGCCAATTTCAAGAGAGTGTTCCTCTACTATGAAATTAATGTGTTCATATCATCTAATTACAAGGTCGAATACAAAATATAATGGTTAATTGTATATGTATACAGTTTGCGTAGACTCGAGTACTACATTCAAGAGGCTATCCTTAGCTTAATCACAATCAGTGATCTGTTAAGAAAGGCCTAGACAATCACAATTAAGCGTATTCCCGGAATAGCCAACCTCTTATATGACGCTCGACTGGCTTAATTAGAACCCATCTGCATTGTCATACAGAGGAACCAGGGGGAAATTGATCGTTTCAGTTACTTAATGATAAATTTGCATGTGATATGCCCTCATTTTTCTTGTCTTCCAAAACAGTGAATTAACGAGGACACTTTAAAGGAATTTACAAACCCAAAACAACTTGCTTGTCAGCTGATTATCGATTTTCCCATTGAATCATCAACGTGTGAAATTCATTACCTCAGCACATGATTAAAGCTCCGTTTATCGACTCTTTCAAAAGAAACTTGGATCACCTAAGAGGCCACCATTGGCAGGACTAACATAGACCATCTAGCTTCCTATCCTTTCCAAACTGAAACTGTAACTGAATACAATTACTTAGTAAATGTATACTAGTTCATGCATATACTTCAGTTTACATGAATCTTTTCAATAAATATCAAATGTCAATTCAAGTAGATATTAACTCACTGAAAACAATAGTGGACGATGACACAACTTCGTGAATTGGTTATATTTAGACATTAACACCACTGGATGCCGGCCGGCTCAATGGTCTAGAGGTCCTGGGTTCGAACCCCACGAGGTGGGATCTTGGATGCTCATTGCTGAGGAGTTCCATGCTAGGACAAATAGTCTGTCCAATACTTTCAGGTTTTCCATGGTGGTCTAGCTTCAAATGACTCATGAATTCAACTATTGAATTCATAATTATCCACAACCTCTGAATGAAGATTAATATTATAATATTTGATAAAAAGGAAAACAGGATGTTAAATGTTCAGCTTACTTTTCCTCTGTGACCAGTGATGTAGTTGGTTTTGTATATCAACCAAACGATAATAAATTAATATCAGAGTAAGTTTTTGTGAATATTATAGTGATTTAATAGTTGAATTTATGAATCAATTAAATCTAGACTACCATAGAAAACCTGGGAACACAGGACGACCGTTTCGTCCTCCTATGATACTCCTCAGCAGTCGTCATGTGGGACCGTGGATACGTGATAATGAGGAGTTTCACAGTAGAACGAAACAGTCATCCTGTGCTTCCAAGTTTTTTATGGTGATCCAACTTCAATTAACTCACGATCTCAACCATTAAGATAACAAAATGGTCAAATAATTCAAATGTAACTGACAATACTTATACATTCATTAGAATATAGAAATCATATTCGATTACTTTAAATAACATACGTACTTTTACATTCTGGTAGTGAGGACCTAGATGAACCACAATAACATGACTGTATTAGAAATATTGAAATGATGGCAAATGTAATCATTAAATAACTACTGATAATAGAAGAAGGGAATTAAGTAGTAAACTTTGATATTTATGTTTCTAAGAACTTCATCAATGGAAATGATGGTACTTTTATGTCTATAAATGTTTCAATTAATCAATCAATGTTGTTATTTAATTGGTTTAATCAGTAATGTAAACAATCTATATTATAGGCGTCAAAATCATGCACGTCTTGTATAACCCTAAAGTAATGATTACTATCTATTGACTTTATAGTTCCTCCCATTCATGCATATACATTTCAATGTAGACGATTGTTTTCAGTAGATTATTAGAGGTTTAGAGTTTGAAAAGATAAGGGATTATCAAAAGTCTTATTGTTTTATTATCAATGTATGTCACACCCTGATAAACAGACTATTATAAACATTGGTAGATATTTTAAGTGATTGACTTCTTACTTACTTACTTACTTACTTACTTACTTACTTACTTACTTACTTACTTACTTACTTACTTACTTACTTACTTACTTACTTACTTACTTACTTACTTACTTACTTACTTACTTACTTACTTACTTACTTACTTACTTACTTACTTACTTACTTACTTACTTACTTACTTACTTACTTACTTACTTACTTACTTACTTACTTACTTACTTACTTACTTACTTACTTACTTACTTACTTACTTACTTACTTACTTACTTACTTACTTACTTACTTACTTACTTACTTACTTACTTACTTACTTACTTACTTACTTACTTACTTACTTACTTACTTACTTACTTACTTACTTACTTACTTACTTACTTACTTACTTACTTACTTACTTACTTACTTACTTACTTACTTACTTACTTACTTACTTACTTACTTACTTACTTACTTACTTACTTACTTACTTACTTACTTACTTACTTACTTACTTACTTACTTACTTACTTACTTACTTACTTACTTACTTACTTACTTACTTACTTACTTACTTACTTACTTACTTACTTACTTACTTACTTACTTACTTACTTACTTACTTACTTACTTACTTACTTACTTACTTACTTACTTACTTACTTACTTACTTACTTACTTACTTACTTACTTACTTACTTACTTACTTACTTACTTACTTACTTACTTACTTACTTACTTACTTACTTACTTACTTACTTACTTACTTACTTACTTACTTACTTACTTACTTACTTACTTACTTACTTACTTACTTACTTACTTACTTACTTACTTACTTACTTACTTACTTACTTACTTACTTACTTACTTACTTACTTACTTACTTACTTACTTACTTACTTACTTACTTACTTACTTACTTACTTACTTACTTACTTACTTACTTACTTACTTACTTACTTACTTACTTACTTACTTACTTACTTACTTACTTACTTACTTACTTACTTACTTACTTACTTACTTACTTACTTACTTACTTACTTACTTACTTACTTACTTACTTACTTACTTACTTACTTACTTACTTACTTACTTACTTACTTACTTACTTACTTACTTACTTACTTACTTACTACTTACTTACTTACTTACTTACTTACTTACTTACTTACTTACTTACTTACTTACTTACTTACTTACTTACTTACTTACTTACTTACTTACTTACTTACTTACTTACTTACTTACTTACTTACTTACTTACTTACTTACTTACTTACTTACTTACTTACTTACTTACTTACTTACTTACTTACTTACTTACTTACTTACTTACTTACTTACTTACTTACTTACTTACTTACTTACTTACTTACTACTTACTTACTTACTTACTTACTTACTTACTTACTTACTTACTTACTTACTTACTTACTTACTTACTTACTTACTTACTTACTTACTTACTTACTTACTTACTTACTTACTTACTTACTTACTTACTTACGCCTGTTACTCCCAATGAAGCATAGGCCGCCGACCAGCATTCTACAACCCATTCCTTACAGAAATTTAAATGAAGCAATATTCATTTCAGCATCTGAGATTATGAGTTATTTGATGCTAAATCACTATGGAAAACCTGGAAGCACTGGATGACCGTTTTGTCCTATTATGGGACTCCTTAGAAACGCGTGTCCAAGATACCGGCGAGCGGGATTCGAACTCAGGACTTTCAGACTCGCGCGCGAATGTCTAACCTACTTGATCACTTAACCAGCATCCAACAGTGTTCATGTCTAACATCGACCAATCCACGAAATTGTGCGACCATCTTCCATTGTAATGAGGTAGATACCTGTTTCTACCCGACATGGATTAGCTCCACTGGTCACGGCTTCTCATTAGAACTCTGAGAATTCCTTGACGAAGCTAGTCACTAGTGAGCACATGGTAATTATTAGTATACGGTTGTGGAGATTCTTTCAGGTTTCCAATGGTGATCCAACATCAATCAGTTCATAATCTCAATCAAAAACTTAATAATCTTCACAACTCTATACTGACAATCCATTGAATAACCATCGTTTTTCCATAACTTTCTATGTTTACATAAATTGAAACAAAAAAGAGATATTAAATCAGCTACTGTTGTTGGGGGCAAGGTGGGACCACAATTCGAGCTTAACAAGTAAAATGATTATTCACTTAATTTGTCTTCATTCATAGTTGAGTAAGAAAGATTTGAGTTTCTTGGATAATCCTGGAACGTTTCAACGTTTCAACTATTTCTGATTTGATCTTCAAAAATCAAGTTCCAAAAAAAGTTGTTTCGATTATTTAACAGGATTATATTTCTATTGTTATGATGTTTTTTTGTCATAAATTCATTGAATATTCAATATGAGATACTGTAAGACGAATGGAAACTATCTTGTTTTTTGTAGGCATCTATAATGATGCTTGAAATAAGTCTTAATGTCAACATATTTTATTTGAAGGTGATTTTTGTGGATATTGTAGGTAATTCCTGGAGTTCTAATGAGAAGCTGTGACCAATGTGGTTCAACGGGGTCTGTTGTGCGTCAGTAACTTACTGAAGACAATGGTGGACGGTGTCACTATTTTGTGGATTAGTTGAAGTTAGACATTACCAATGTTGGATGACGTCCTAATGATCCGGAGATTAAGCGCTCACGCGCGAAACTGAAAGTATTTGGTTCGAATCTTGCTATGGGAGGGATCGTGTATGTGTACCATACTTGGATGAAACGGCTGTCCGATGGTCACAGGTATTCCATTATAGTCTAGATACAACTAACTCATGAATTTAAATATTTTATTCGCTTCTAATTTGTATTTTAAGAAAGGTGTTTCTGTTGCTAAGCCCTTTGAATATCATTCTTTTTAATTTTGTCGTTCAAGTCATTCATCTTCATAGGTATGTTTGAGAAATGAATATCAAACCGCTACCTCTCCGATTGAGGAAACGTGCGTGCTAGATTACACTGCTAGCCAATATCCATCATTGCTTATAAAGCTTGTGACCTAAGACAATATCGAGACAACCCGAACAGGATGTACATATGCCAAAAAAGACTGATCAATTGCAGTCCTAAACATCGATCGGAAGATACAAGTAAAACAAAACTAAGTGAATTTAAACTTTACCTCATTGCACAAGCAAGTGGCTATCAAGACTTAATAGCTTAGTGGATAACTCGATGGCATTTGAAGCGAAAAATATTGAGTTGGAGTCCCAACGTGAACATCAACTGTGATGCAGTTACATCCAGCTGATGAATCCCAAATAGGACAAAACCTACGTTCTGGATTCTTCTGCTAGGCACTTTCTATCTTTGTTTATAAAAGTAGTATTGGATAAGATTTTTTTTTTAAATATTTAAATCATTTACTCCACCCATTATCAAGTTGAAACATACAATACAACATAGTTACATAAACAAATAAACAAATCAATCAGATATATTGTCATATGTTTTGACAACAAGCTTGATGACTAAAATGACTACTTTCAGTATTATTAGGATGCTAACATGCTAACATTATAATCTAAATCATTTTAAGTCGATTGAATAAATAATCATTGTTTTATAATAGAATACATCATCTAATAGTACTTTGTACAAAGGGGATCAGTGCATTGTTGGTTATCTTACTTCAGCCTTTCAAACATTGCTTACTTATTTACGTCTGTTACTCCCTGTGAAACATAGGCCACCGATCAACATTCTCCAACCCACTCTGTCCTGAATCTTCTTTTCCAGTTCTATCCAAATAATGTTCATTCTTCTCATGTCCGTCTCCATTTCTCGGCGTAATGTATTCCTTGATCTTTCTCTTCTCCTTTGGCCTTAAGTATTTCAAGTGAGGGTTTGCTTTGTGATGCAGTTGAGTGTGTTCCTCAATGTATGTCCTACACAATTCTAGCGTTTCTTCCTGATTTCTTGCTCCGCTGGAATCTTGTTCGTTCTCTCCCACAGTAGGTCGCTTTCAAACATTACACATTACGATACCTGAAGTTAAGAATAACGTTTGATGTTGTAAAAGAAAAGTTTCATAACAAAAAATATGTTTTTGATACCATTTCATTTCATTTTAACACATGAATTGCGCTCATGAACCGATTAATGGTAGACCACTATTAAAAACCTAGAACCATGGTCTCAGTTAAAACTCAACAAAATCCACAGCCTTATAGTGATAATTATCATGCGTTCGCTAATAGTTCTCTGTGTTCTGGTGAGAAGCCGTGATCAGTTGAATCCGACCGTGTCTGATGTGAGGCAGTTATTCACGAAGATATTAGAGGATGGTCAAGCAACTCGTTGATGTGAAACATTACCAGCTTTGGATGTCAGCTCAGTGGTATAGAGGTTAAGCATTCGCGCGCGAGACGGAAATCTGTTGGTTCGAACCCCTTTGGTATGGAATCGTGGGTGTGTACTGCTCAAGAGTCCCATACTAGGACCAAACGGTCGTCGAATACTTCCAGGCTTTCAGTGATGGTCCAACATTGATCCATTCATGATCTCAATCAAAACCCAACAATCTTCACAATCCTACATTCATAACAATCAAAATAATGTTCACTTATTAAATAAAATCATCCTTACTTTCCTCATTATCAGCAAAAAAGGTAGCGAACAGTATTGAGTCTGTTAAATTCATGATATTCTGAATATCGGCGAGTCTATAATTTATGGACGAACCAGTCAAAAACGTTTGGGGAACTTCAAGTTCACGGCATCAATTTCAGTACCTGATACTCATGTACGATCGGTTCACAGTGGTATTAACGAAAACGTTATATTTGAGCGACTACAACAAATGGGACTATTAAAAAGTTCCTTTTTTTGTTATGGTGGTAATAAAACGACTTGTGAACCTTGTGCAGACTACTGTGATTATGTTTTCTTTTAATCTAATATATGTAAGAGGCAGAAGTCTGCTAGAATATGAATTCTTCCCTTGTTTAAGATTGAAATTAATGCAAATTATGACAGTTGTTGTAAACTGGATATTAAAAACACAACCATCACTGACTGCTACCGTGTACTACATTATTAGAGAGCGTACAGATGGCTACATGTAGTTGTTGATATGCAACGTGTCGTTATTCACAAGTGGCATTTTGTGGACAAACAAACACGAGTACACACTAACAATATTGGAGCTATATGGTTGAGGTTGAAAAAGGTTGAAATGAACCATACAAATAATTGTATTAAGCTAATTGATATTTAAGACTGTAATTGATTAGTCCCAGAGTGAACATCAAATCTAGGATGTCAGTACATCAAGTTGATGAGTTCCAAATAGGACGAAATGTGCGTCCTGAATTCCAGTACGAGCCACCATCCATATTTTTGCTTATAATTCTTGGGAATTAAGACAATATCGAGGTAATCCACATAGGCTATACATATGTGATTTGATGAAAAAAAAACAATTTTTGATTGATTTACTCATTATGAGTTTTATTCCACATGACATCCGTTTTGATTCAACGTGAGGATCATACAGTGGAGTAGTATTTGATTGTGTTTTCCCAGTATGATATTTTCTTCTGGATAATATACGAGATATTCTTGTATTCAGTTGACATGAACTATGCTCAGTAAGTGATTTGTTATAACTGAGTATGTGATTTCATCCTAATTATTAATCAAAATGGGTGTACCATCAATATAGAAATCAGTGTATTTTAGACTATTATGTTTCGTCGTCGTCATAGTGTTTGGGGCTAATAAATCTTCACTTATACCAGTCTTTGTATTCTTACTTTCGCATTGTAGGGCGTTGCCGAGATCCCTCGTTCCGAGTATAAGTGATCAGCGTTTTTTTCTGGCACAATAATGAGCGACGACCAGATATAACATTATCTGCCTTGCATTTCTTTTAAAAAAGGTAAGATTCCCTAAAGGAGAGATCATTTTATAGATTAACATGGAACATTTACTTTTATCATTAGGACATCTATGAACCTTATCATATGAAAGATTTATTTGACTACATTATTTGAAAAAACACTGTATACAATTCAAGGAATAATGTCCATTGGGTTCGTTTACGGACATTTGGATTTTCTTTTTCGGATAAGTAAGTGTACGGTCAAGTGAAGCATGGAATACAGTCAACAGATAGGATGCAGTTGGCCGATCTAGACTTCGCAGATGATCTGGCTCTTCTATCTCAAACGCAACAACAAATGCAGTAGAAGACGATCAGTATAGCAGCAGTCTCATCAGCAGTAGGTCTCAATATAAACGAACGGAAAAGCAAGATTCCCCGATACAACACAGCATGCACCAATCCAGTCACATTTGACGGAGAAGATTTGGAAGATATAAAAACCTTTACATATTCGGGCAGCATCGTTGATGAACATGGTGAATTTGATGCAGATGTGAAAACGCGGATCGGTAAAGCAAAGTAAGTATATTTACAACTGAAGAACATCTGGAACTAAAATCAACTGTCTGTCAACCAACACCAAATTCAGAACTTTCAATACAAATATCAACACAGTTCTACTGCATGGGGCGGAAACTTGGAGAACTACGAAAGCCATCATCCAGAAGCTACAAGTGTTTATTAACAGTTGTCTACGCAAAATGATTCCGATCCGTTGGCCAGATACTACTGGCAACAACTTACTGTTGGAGAGAACAAACCTAATTCCAGCGGTGGAAGAAAGCGGGAAGAAGCTCTGGAAGTGGATAGGTCATACATTGAGGAAAGCATCCAAGAAAAGTCCTCGCATGTGATCCTCAAATCCAAAGGAAAAGAGGAAGACCAAAGAACACATTACGCTGGGAAATGGAGACAGACATGAGGAAAATGAACAAGAATTGGATGGAACTAGAAAAGGAGGCCCAGGACAGAGTGGGTTGGAGAATCCTGATCGGTGGCCTATGCTCCATTGGGAGTAAGAGGCGTAAGTAATTAAGTTAGTGTACGGTCCGACTTAAATCATTTCTGTTCTTTATTATGAAAACTACTACATTACACTTACACAATGGAAGTATTACGTAAACCGTTGATTCTAATATTTTGATACTTTGTAATGTATGTTGAGCTATACAAAGTTATATGATAGTTCTTGGACAGCATATGTCTTTATGGAACAGCTAAGTTAAAAGAAAACAAAGAATGCTGTCATTTGTTGTTTTCAAATAACAAATCTACTTTTCTATACTAGTCATAGGTTAGATAATCAAATATCGAATAGAAAGATATAGATAAGATATTGTAGCGTTATTCTAAGCCATAAAATAACTTACGGATTACCAGGGTAAATTCTGATTACAACAAATTTAGTAGTTGAATTCATGAGTCAATTAAAGCCAAATCACCATGGAAATCCTGTAAGCACTGAACAGTTGTTTCGTCCTAGAATAGGACTCCTCAGCAGTGTTCATCCATGATCCCCCACCGCAAGATTTGAACCTAGGACCTATCGATCTTACGCGCTAACACTTAACCTATAAACCACTGAGCCGGCCGGTATCGAACTGTGTTAATGTCTAACTTCAACCAATTCATGAAAAATTGTTTATTTATTTGATATCTATATAGAATATCGACGTTCGATGATAATAAAGAATTGTGTCAAATGTTATATTTAGTTGATCAATCAATTACACATAACTTATAAGTAATCAGAACTCATAGCTTCTTTTATCATTGGAACCATTATAACACAAACCTTATCAATCTTGATACATCCTTTCATTATTATACCATAATCACTGACATCACTTCAACATTTTTCAATTCAAATTACCGTATGTTCTATTTAGAATAGTTGCATGGTCGGAAGTCCTGATGTGATAAAAATAAATCAAACCCGTCAAACTTCTTTTTTTTATTGAGATCATGAATCATTTGATGTTAGGCCACCATTGGAAACCCGGAAGCACTGGACGGCCGTTTCGTCCTAGCAGTGCGCATCCACGATCCCCCTCCTCGCGAGATTTGAACCCAGAACCTGTCAGTCTCGCACCAGGCGCCAAATCAACCAATCCACGAAATCGTATAGGTTTCTTGAATCTTCTCATCGATGTTTAGAAATGCGGTCGATTTGTCTGTTATTGGTATATGGATATTCTGTGCAGATCGACTCGATATTGCTGTACAGCATAAGCATTATAGGTAAAGGTAGATGGTGGATACAAAAACTAAACAACTTTTTATGTAGCGGAATATCAAAAAGTAATTAGCTCTTCTTAATCTCAATGTACTTCACTTTTTATTCATTTGCTTTCTTCTAAACTTTTATTATTGTGTAACAAAATGAACAATAACAAAACAATATGGAAATAGATTTGAATAATAAAGAAATCAGGTTCAAAGTCTCATAGTTCATCCTCAACCAGTGTTTGCCATCGCTTCTTTAAGGAACCCGGCTATAGTGTTCCTAGAAACGCATAAATGAAAAACGATCAATATTATTCACGAAAATAAACCTTTAACATCATTTCAAAATGCTTTATGACCTATCATATGACTATTCTAAATATAAAGCAAATGTGGATTAGAAGGTTGATTGCAAATGATGAAGTGCATATAAGTAAGCTGGATATCTATTTAACATAAATATCCAATTGATGTCCATAATTGATGTATACATATATAAAGCTTAACTACCTTGTTTACCGTTCCTACTGTGGTGTGTGCTACTTATGTCGACATAAGTAGTATATAACGATAGGCAGATATAGAATGTCTGCAGCAGGTAGTTGAGAAGATCGAAGAGAAGAAATTGGTATGGAAATGGAGGAACAATGAAATCTGAGAAAATTAATGAACATCTTTTAAATGAAGTATTAGAGTATGGTTGTTCTATTTTACCAAATAATTGTGTGCTAAACATAATCGGTCGCCCTCATGTTCTCCTCCACTACACTATTATTCTTACTCATATCTTCGGTGTTTGGAGAATTAGTAGATAAATTAAAAATCTCGTTTAGAAAATTGAAATATTACAAGAGAGTATATATAGATGTATATAGAAGTATACTATACTCCTAAATATGTAGGTAGTTACTTTGTGGTATATACTACTTATGTCGACGGACATGAGTAGTATAAACACTAATCAGAAGTGGAATGCCTGACAGCAGAAGGTCAAGAAGATCGACTCAAAGAAAACAGAAACGGAATTAGAAAAGAAATGTGAATTAAAAGAATCGTACTGAATGTAAAGGACAACTGATGGAACATTTGCAAAGGGTTTAATGTATCATTCTCATATCTCTACATTGTTGAGGTCATGAGTAAATCAAAGCTAGACCACCATGGAAAAACTAGAAGCACTGAACGACCTGTTGTGAGGCAGTAACTCACTGAAGACAATGGTGGATTTGTCACTTAATTTCGTGGATTGGTTGTAGCTAGACATTAGCACAGTTGACTACTGGCCTGCTCAGTGGTCTAGAGGTTAAGCGCTCGAGCGTGAGACCGATAGGTTCTGGGGTCGAATTTCGCAAGGCAGGATCGTGGATGAACAATGCTGAGAAGTCCTATAATAAGTCCAGTGTTTTCAGGTTTTCTATCTTGATCTAGCTTCAATTGGCTCATGATCTGAACTATTAGAATTACTATAATATCCACAAAAACGCATTCTGATATTCTCATATATGATGAAGATATTCTGCAACTTAGACAGATAAACTCATCTTACCATATTCCATCTAAAAAGCTGTAATCAACATTTATAAAAGAAAACAAAAACAAAGTGAATATTGTTTGAACTGCAACAATCATAAATGAATCATTTATACATTAGTAATGATTATCCAAGATTACTGAAAGATATTAAACATTCAAGTTAATGTGGATTAAAAACTAACGAACTGATTATGAAATCCACAAAGAATCACAACACAATTACTCCTGGATCGAAAAACGACAAAACATTCACAAAACTGGTGTATGGAATGTGTAGGGTTGTTCCCTACCGGTCAAACTCCAACCTATTACAAAAACAGGTATTCTAGTTCCGGTAGTTGTGCCGTGCTTCGATGTGACCTGTTTCTCTCCAAAAGAGCCTACTACACTTCACCAACTTGTTTGGCTGAAAGGGGCAATGATTATTCAAGATTACTGAAAAATATGAAACATTCAAGTCAATATGAATTAACAGCTAACAATCAAGATGTATGTTTCAGGAATTTGCTGAAGTTAATCTCAATTACTATAAAATCATACTGTTAAAATGGTTCCACTTGGAACATATGACATTTATCTGGTACTCTATTTGTCATTGGATGGCGGATACAGTATATCTATTGTAAATTTTGTCATTTTAAACTGAAAGTAAAATATTAATGACTACCTACCATAATAAGCTAATAAATGTTCTGAAATGATCCAACCAATAGAAATAGAAGAAAACAAGTTTCAGTAATGTTATATTGATTGATGTTATATTTTACATGAGGATGTGTACTAATTATCATAATGAACCAGTATACACCGGTTCCATCCAGCTATCCTTCGTACTATGGTATCATATCATAATTTGTCCTAGTGTCAGCAACTCAAAAACTCAGTTAGTTCCCCAAGTTTTCGCATTCAAATTTCAGGTTAGTACTTTAGTATCTTTTAAACGCACTTATTAAGGATCATTTGATTGACGGTAAAACTCACATTTGATTAAGTCTGGGACGCAATCAATCTGAGTGTGGATTATTAAGAAACAGCGCTTTTTACCAGTTTTGTCTCACGTCTATCTAGCTTTCTAATCCTATAGAACATAAATGACTGTTAATAGGAATCGTATCAACGAGTACGGCTCCTGATCCGGAGTTCTGTACTACTTTATTTATTTGCCACATAAACATCAGTACAAGGAGGCACCAAATAGATATGCATCACACTTTGTCATCAGATTTGTGTGAGGGCCATGATACTGTTGAAGTGCCCAAACCGGGACGGGTGGTTTCCTTAGGCGGATACACCCAGAGCCTTTGACTTAGGGGTCTAATCCACAAGGCAGTGAGGCAACGTTAAGAGATGCAGTCTCATAGTGGCCAGTGGCCAACAATAGCCTCATACACCATTTGTTTGCTTAGGATCCTGTAACTTTGAACTTAATTTCACTTATGCCTGTTACCCCCGTGGAGGAGCCTTGGCCTTCCAACAGCATTCTCCATCCGACTCTATCCTGAGCCATCCTTTCCAGTTGTTCCCAGTTGCTATCTATGCTTTTCATATTTGCTTTGATTCTCGACGGAGTGTTCTTTGGTCTCCCTCTTTCCTGTTTTCCTTCAGGATTCCAAGTTAGTACTCGACTCATGATGCAGTCTGATAATTTCCTCAATACGTATCTTAACCACTTACAACTCCGAGCCCGAGTAAAGAAGGAGTGTTGCGCATAAGATCAGCAACCACATCCCGTAGAATACAACCTTGTTAAAAAATAGACATTAATCTAATGAAATAAATTTGAACCTAGTAGCTCCTGATTTATGTGGAATGAGAAAAACAGTATTTACTCGATTAATAAATAACAACTAATTTCAATGTTCTCATCAGTATAGAATTGTGGAGGTAGTTAAATTTTTCCTGATTGATATCATAAATCCATCGATATAAGACCGTCATTGAAAACCTGGAAGGACTGGACGTGTGTCTACAAATTCAAATATTGTCTATTCATCTTTTTATTGTTAATTTGATGGATATAAATTCTATCTTAAAATATAATTGAATTGAATAAACATGCTACTTTTGGGTTGATTTAACTAAGATGGATTCAGTTGAATATATGAATTTTGATAGCCTACAACACAATCTGAATTAAATGTATCAGAAGAAGTTTTGTGGAGATTGTAGTAATTTCAATAGTTGAGATCATGAGTCAATTGAAGCTAGATCACCATGAAAAACCTGAAAGCACTGGACGGCGGAGTCGTAGGTGCGCACTGCTAAGGTGGTCTAGCTTCAAATGACTCATGATCTCAACTATTGAATTAAATATGACAACTATTGAAAGTGTAGATAAACTGGATGACTGTTTTGTTCTAGTATGTGACTTCTCAAACAGTACGGCTTTATGATTACAGTTAGTTCGAATGTAAGCAATTGCTGAGAGGTAGGTTGATTGAAGTTAAACATTAACATTGTTGAATAGTGGCTATAAATGGTCCATCGGTTAACTGATTACATGTGTGATCAAAGCTGTTGAATTTGATTCCTTGTAGTATGATCGTGGGATAACATAGAAAAAAAAACTTGTCAGAAAATATTTCAAATGGTATAAATCGATATCTTTACATGGACACTTGAATTGACGAACACAACTGACGTATACTATGAACTTACCCCACTGCTGAAACAAACCGTCTGAAATATATATTAAAATTAACAATTCATAGATATCCATTCAAAAAACACGGACGTTATCTGTTCCTTGTCAAGGTGCTTGGAGCTCTTTGAAATACTTTACCTCAGTTCAATCATTTTAATAAGCATATTGAAATGTATGATCAATAGTATACCATACTTTAAATAGCGTCAGAAGTATTTAAATAATTATCATTATAGGGTTGTGGAGATTTTTGAGTTTTAATTGTGATTATGAAGCGATCAATGTTAGACCACCATTAAAAACCTAAAAACGTTGGACTGTTGTTTTGTCTTAATATGAGACTGTTCAGCAGTGAACATCGACTATGCATAATACAAGACTCGAACATAAGATCTCCGGCTTCAGCGTGAAGATGCCGAACCTGTAGATCACTGAGGTGGCCGATGTTAACTTCAATCTTCCATCATATTATGGGATCATCTTACATTAAATAATTGGGATAATGTTTCCATAAAACATGAATTCGAAAAAATATTTACTCACCCAAATGGTGATCGTCTAGTGTAATGATAAAACAATTGTGCCTATATATATTAGCGAATCAAACTGTTAAGAATTAATATCCATTAATCACTATCTTTGAATCTGAAACAATATGTTAGTTGTAATGCTTGGTTAGTTACTTACTTATTTACTTATGCCAGTTACCCCTCGTTAAGGGGTATAGGCTGCCCGCCAACGTTCTCTATCCAACAATATCCTGAGCCGACCTTTCCAGTTCTTCCCATTCGCTATTCATCCTTTTCATATTTGCTTCCGACTTGAATCTCATTCTGTTCTTTAGCCCTCCACTTCTGTGTTTCCTTTCACGATTCCAAGTTAAGGCTTGCCTCGTGACGCAGTTTGATGATTTCTTCAATGTAAGTCTCATCCGTTTCCATCGTCTTATCCTAATTTCCTCTTCACTTGGAAGCTGGTTCATTTTATCCCACAGAAGGCTGTTGCTGATGGTAACTGGCCAATGGATGTTGAGTATCTTGCGTAGACAACTATTTATAAATACTTGTACCTCCTTGACGGTGGTTGTTGTATTTCTCCAAGTTTCAGCTCCGTACAGTAGGACTGTCTCAACGTTCGCAATAAAGATTCTAAATTTGATATTGTTTGACAGTTGTTTCGATTTCCATATATTCTTCAACTGTAGAAATGATGTTCTTTCTTTGCCAGTCTTTGCTTTCACGTCTGCATCAAATCCTTCTTACTCATCGATGATGCTTCTCAGGAAATACTTGATTAAGTAAGATCGATAGACCAAATTGGTAGGTTGTGAATTTAATTGCTACAAGTTAGGTAATATTAAGTTAGTTATTATTCTATACATGTAAGCCCTTAATTGATTGGTAAATAGAATATCAAGTGGTAGACTTACTGTTGCTCTGTCATTGATATAATAAGTATAAACATCATCAGTATATCCTTGCTACAGATTACAAAAATATATCTCTTATCATAATGAAATACTTAACTTCCAATGTTATATGTATTCACTATATTCAGAAGAGAATCTTTATATCTTCAAACATACCAGTGCAGTTAGATTGTTGTGATGATGATGATCCTGACTGAGATGAACGTATTAAAATCAGTGGAATTATAATGTAGATAATCAACATTTCACAACAATTCACAGTATCTGAGTCAGTAAATTCAATTGTTTTGCAAGTTTATATATAAAGTTACTTGAGCAAGATTGATCAGCATATTACATCATTCAGATATATGTTTTTATTGAATTTACGAAGGATGAACAAGGCGTATTCAAGTAAATTTTATGTCATAACACACTACACCCTGTCTAAACAACATCAATGATTTGATGATAATGCTAGTAATTAGTTACTAATTTTCGTGGAGTTTTGTTCTCTGATTTGGATGGTTTTGCCGTAGAGTATCATCGGGTAGAAGACTTATACTTGACATCTACCTGAAGATTTTGCTGATGATGTCATTCAGAAGAACAATGAAAGCTCCACAACCAAACCATCTAGCTCAGAGAACAAAATTCCAACAAAATCACCCACTTGCGCTACAAATCTTCTTCACCATCTCAGTTCGTTACCGTGAAATAGATAACGAATTATGGCTACAGATTTAATTCCAGAAAAAGATTCAGTCAAAGATGTAACTAACTTGTTTGAGTTGACCTTCATTCTATCGACATTTTAACAATTCAGACAGTCTTATCTTCTCACAGACGTCATTAGATAATGTTTTCTTTTACATGCTAGATCTATATGACTCATTGGAAGAACTAAAGACACCGTTTCTTAGTATTGTGCTATGTTCTACTGATGTAGATAGATATAAGTAGTATGTATCATTAATCCATAGTGAAGAACTTTGCAGCAGAAGGTTAAAAAAAACCGAAGAAATGAGAGCGAGAACAGAAAATGGTTGCTATGGTAATGAAAGAACAATGAAGTCTGAGATGATTAATTGACATTTTGCGAATGAACTATTTATCTCCATAGTTCTCAGATTTTACTAAGATATTTTGTATTTCAGTATTCAAATACATTTGATTGTCCCCAGTTCGATTCTCGTTCATGACAGTTATTTTGTGACTATTAACGTACAATTTTGTCGACTTAAATACATTTGTTTACTTGCTATAGATGTGACTAGATATGGTAAACAGTTAAACATTTATAACATCATATGACTATTTTGTATCATCTAAAATCAGTTCACGCAATATATTGGCTTATGTTCTTTATTTTCAAATAATCTACGTCGGTTATCGAGACATACTGACTTTAACACTCAGTTCTATAATCAGACATTACACTTTCCAAGTAGACGTTCGTTGACTGGTTATCCAGGTTTTTGATATCTAATAACAGGCTTATTGATAATGATCTAACTTACATATTAACTTATTAGTAGAAAGTGTTTGTAGTTTGATTCATTTCATTGTCTCGTATTCACTTCAAGAGTAGTTTCACACAGCATTTAATCTAAGGCAGCTACATTGTATGAAACTGTGCCTGAAAGCCGTATGTGACCATTTCAAGTAACATTATCATAACTTTCTGAAATAAGAAGGTTTGAGTATTCTATAATACAGGTTGTCTGCATAACACTAAGAATTGTCACACACACACATATCATATGTATACAATTAAGCTCAATGAAAATAATCAGTTTGTTACAAATTAATCATTTAAGAATATCATCATTATTACAAATAATTTTAAACCTTCATAAAATACTATATGATTGCATCTGCTGACGTTGATCCACTGGCTTGTGGTTCAAATGTTCAGGTCTAAGGTTCCAGATGTGACCCTCTAAGAAGATCACCTGCTACAGTCTGGGAACACGGGCAGTATCATAGCCTACACACAAATCAAGTGACTTGTGTGGGGCATATATAGGATCATATATTTGATGTGTGTTGTTCTGATTTCGAGTCGATTCGAATGGCCATACTGAGATGAAGTTACATTCAGCTGACAATTTCATAATAGAAAGAAACTCACGATCTAGATTTCACTGTGAGACATAATTTGTCTCTCATGAAACTATGTTTTCATTAGCTTTACACTGATTGAGTACAATGACATCATACATAAATTCACTTGTATAAACATCAAGAGTGAGATGTGTTAATGCAATACTCTAGTAGTAAAGTAGAATGTAAATCCACACATGTACTTTGTGGTCATAGACAAAGTTTATTTAGTATGTATACAATATGAAGTTCCATCCTACGATCCAGATCACACTTTAATATACAATAATCATACGAAATTATTAAACGAATGAAGGCAGTTTATGATTCAATGATGATAACAGTGGAATAGATTACATTAACTGGTAATGTGATGAGAAGTGTACTAGTTGTGATAAGAATCATAGAGGCTTGGATTGATCAATGTTATATAGTGAGAAGTAGGTCAACGATTAGACACTGAAATAACATTCATAAGATTCGGTCATAAGAAGTGATCAGATAATTGGACTGTGAATTCGTGTATATTCGTGCAAAGGAAACGAGGTGGGAGGGGTTGAAGTAAAGTAAACGAACATGGAGTATGCAATATAATGATAAATGAGATCATTTATTAGGGCCAAGGGAGAGATAAGGGTGTTAGCTCAAATTCTTATAGCTACTGCTATGTGTAACAGACGAGATCGAACCTCGTAAGGAAAACTAGTAGAAATAAGATAAATCACTTTAAATGACCTATTTCTGTCTACGACATGACGACTATCGACTGAATATGATTTGATTTAAATGACAAATCTTCTTGAAACTGAGACCCTGAAATAATGGTATATATATATATTGTAATGAATGTTGTGAAGTAACCGACTAGTTTTCTTCTTTTCCATGGACTTCTGAAGATTTAAAAATATGCTTCAGACAATGTTTTTTTGCTTCACAATCACATTCAGTAGCTATGATATCTTGTCTATAGTCACATATGATTGGTGATTTCTTTCATATCATATCTGTATACATATTCACATTATTCATCAAGTGAATCATATTGTAGATCACCAATGTAGATGATCTATGTCAAATGATTGTTGGCCTACTCAAGTTAGACGGAAATGGTATGACAAACCAAATAAATTCGAAGTCACACACCTCGCGGTCAGAATCTAACTTGGATTACGCATTAGACGTATTAAAATACTATAGCTGCATTGAAGACCGTATAACATGAAGAACGTTATTATGGAAATATATTAGTAAGAATGAGTACAGAGAAGATAGCAAGACCACCACCGCATGTATCAGTCCATGACATACGATTGATTGATACACGTTGGTTGTCGTTGTCTTTGTTGAGGATCGATGATCTGTCCGATATTCACTGACCCAACTGCCAGGTGATTTGGCTAGAGCTTATTGACATTTCACTGACCCTACTATATATTTACTATACATTCGGGATGTATATATATTCTACTATTGGAACCAATTATGTTCAAATTGAGATGTTTATATGATTATCTCTCTTTTACAGTTCAATAGTCAATTTTTAAGACGTCAGGTCCTAACATTGAAGTGAACATCGAATTGAATGCAAGAACATTTTGTGGAATGAAACTCATGTTTCAATATATAAACTCTTCTCTCCAATGTTTATGTCGACTATTGTGATGTTATTTGTTCGAATTTAGACCAGAAGTTCTTTATCAAAATAGTTTATTTATCCGGTATAATCATGTATAAATGTAAATTACATATGGTTACCTTCTTAAATTATCAACAACACATTTGAAGAACAAACATTGAGAATAACACAGAACAAGATTGAACAGACTTAAAGATGAATAATGTAAGGGATTCCATAGTTTATAGTAAGATTTAGTTTATATTGTCTTAAATCTAGTCAAGTTTTATATTGATATACTGAAGTAGCTTCTGATAGTACTCCTAAAATAAATGATAAAAAAGATTATCATTAGTAAGATAGTAAGATAGTCGAATATAAGTAGTAGCTTCATAGTTGAACTAATGAATCGGTCTAAGATAGCAATGGACGATGTTAATGTTTACCTTCAATCAATACTTGTGATTCAAACTGTGAAAATACTACGATCTCTATAAATTCCTATACCGATAACAATCATATCCTTACTAAGGATCAGCTTCAAGATGTTACTCCAGGAGTTCTATTAAGAAGTGGTGACCTGTGGAGTCTAGTTCGTGTCGGGTATGAGACAGTTATCCACCACATATAATAGATGAAGGGTTGCACACGATTATGGATCGATTGAAATTAGACTTGAATACTATTGGATTCCGATCCAGTGTTCTGGATGTTAAGCGTTCGTGTATGAGACTGAAGGTCCTGAGTTAGAGTCACACATGTGGGATTGTGGAAGAGCGCTTCTGAGGAGTCCTATATTAGGAAAAACTGTCGTCCGGTGATTCCAGGTTTTCAATGACAGTCTGGCTTCAACTACTTAGTTATGAAAGTACTACAATCTCCTTAAATCCTCCTACTGATATGTAGTAGCATTTCAACTTACCATGTTTGATTGATTGTGCTATAGGGGAAGAAATATTTTCAATGAGCTGTTAATATATGTATATATAACATCAATAATAGGTGAAATAGTAATGAATACTAATTTAGTACAACTGGATCTTTAGCAAACAACTTTGATCCGTTTATGATTTGGTGATATTCCTTGTTGAATTCATACTATCTGCTAATAATAATAATAATAATAAGGATTAGATGAAGTTATACAGTAAAAGAAGTTTCATTGAACTCTAGACACATCATCTCTCAAGTTGAGTACATCTTTTTTTATATTGAATTACTTAGTAATCTTTAGTAAAATCAAACATATGGAACGCTGATTGTTTAATGCATACCATGAAGGACAGCTGACAGATGCATTCCAAGTGAGTACTAGAGTCAGACAAGACTGCCTAGTCACTCCCTTTATATTTCTTCTGGTGGTTGACTGGATTATGAAGACCTCAACGTTGGACGGGAAAACACGGAATATAATAGACTGCTCAAAATCAACTAGAAGATTTGCACTTAACAGATCACCTGTTTCTTTGATCCCATACCCAACAACAAATGCAGATGAAGACAAATAGTGTAACAGAAGCCTCTGGATCAGAAGTCACAACATACACAAAGAAAAAAGCAATATCCTCAAATATAACACGAAGAAAACCAACAAAATCAAAATTGACAAAGGAGGTCTGGAAGATGTGGACAATTTCACTTATC